TTGCAAGAGAAGCAGCGTGCTGTGCAGGCAGGTGCCTGGCCGAGCTGCTGGGAGAGCAGCTCCAGAGCCCAAAGGGGATGAGATCTCAGTCAGCAGCCCACACACGAGCATGGGAAGGCCCCTGAGTCACACTGATATTCACAACCTCTAGCTGTCCTGGAGGCAGACGCATCTGCCATCCCTCACCGTCACGTGGGGGCTATGGTCCCTTGCAGGGCACGGCAACTCTCCATGCTTCTTTTCAAAGGCGTGCTACCAAGCAAAGAAAATTAATGATTTACTAGGTAAAAAAAAAAAAAAAGAAAAAAAAAAAAGAAAAGAAAAGAGGAAGCTCAGTGATTAGGGCAGTCAAGCCAGTGGAAGGGAAACAGCGGGTCTAGTCACTGGTCCAAGAAGCGTTTACGCATTTGGCTGCAGACAGCCACCTGAGAAAACACATCAGACAGTGGGAATTAGACACCCTGGTTCTTCCTCCTCTGACAAATGAAATCTCACCCCTGCAGAAGGAGGAGCCCTGTTGCCAAAGGGAAGGACATCTCAGCAAAACCAGCAGCCACCTGGCAGGTGAAGCCTCCTGAGATGTTGGAAATGTGGGTGTAAACCCCACCCTGGCCTGGCAAAGGTCTCGTAGGCAAAACTCCCATTACCTCAGGAGAGGGATTTAACCAAGGAGCCACGAGAAAACACGGGGGCTTCTCCCCAGCTACATTTGTGTGTGAGGATGGCGTGTGAGTGACAATGGCTGGGCCAGAGGATACCTGCTGGCTCCAGGACACAGAGGGTCTTGGGAATGGTGTCCCCCACAGCACACCAAGCAGCTCCCCTCCCTCAAGGCAGAAGTAGCTCCTGGATGGCTTGGGTGAGGAATGGCGGGAAGCCGGGGATCTCTGTCACCTTTCTGGCCAGGCAGGCACTCAGAGGATGCAAGCACTTATGTTCCACCCAAGGTCCACTTCAGACATCTAAATCCTTCCCCATATCTGGCCTTAACTCTTGAACAGAATAAAGAACTGCAATAAAAGAACAGAATCGGATGAAAATGCCATCTGCTATGAAAATGGCATGACTACCGCATTCCTGGTCCACCTGTAAACATTGTCATTTAAAATTATGCTTTCTTGGCTGAATTTTCAACACAACACTGCTTCTCTCACCTGGGCTTCTTTACATTTTTTACATCAAAAATGTACTTTTTTACATGTATATGATGGTGCCTGTGTCTCATTCTATAGTTCTCATGCTCTGACTTTTTCTTGAACAGTTTGGGGAGGAAGATGTACATTGGACTAGAAGCGCCCAGAGCTGAGCATGGCTCCCACGTACATTAGGTTGTGTGCCCAAAGGGCGAACCCATCATGGCAAGACAAACACCATTATGGTTATTTCCCCCACACCAGCTGCATTACATTCAATGTTCCCCACATCAAAGTCAAAAGTCACCAAGCACAACAGCCTGCTGCCAAGCCAGTCCTTCTGCAGCTCAAACACCAGGCTCTAAAAAATGAAATGAAGCCATTAAGTTGTCAATCAGAAAGCATACATCATACCACCTACCATGAAATTGCAGAGATGAGCTGGTTCTCCTCTTATTTCTTTTGTAACACAATTAAGATGTTATCAGGCCAAAGTACAATATTGCGGTATCCTGGCCTATGTGAAAATCTTTGAAAGCTGCATTTATTTGCCGCCAGAACCACAAGCTAATAATACAGCCTCCATGCAGGCAGTCCCCATCTGTTGCTTCTTCTAAGTTTCAAACAAACCCGTGACAAACTGTGTATTGTCAGGATATTAACAATCCCTGGACACCATTAACAGCAATGTCTAGTGCCTAAAATTTATACTCCACCAGCTATATCGTCTTCCAACCTGACCTTCAATATGCTGCTTCCCTTCTTCATTTTCCTTGCAACATAAAGAATTCATGTGCTGATAATACATTGCCAACTTACAGAATTGACTTAAATCAAACAGATAAATAAGAAAGTAATTCCAATCACACTTCAGACCCAAGTGTAAGACATAGGCCCATACAACAGACTCGCAGCGTGCGCTGTCCAGCTTACTCGCTGTGTAACATATGCTCGTGACAAACTCCGATGCTCACTTCTCTACTGCTACACAGCCTCTAATGAACTTATCACTCCACAATATACCGGGGAGCCACAACATAAAGGCTACAACAGCCAGCACTCCTGCTTGTTGCAGCATCCTGCAGGATAGGGAGGTCTTGCAGGCAGCCATGCTGAGGTCCTACAAAGCCTCGCCACCTAAAAGGTGATCAGCTACTTTGGAAGAGCCATTTATGATGCTTTAAGAAGGTTCGTACATGGGCTATGGCACAAGTGCCAGGCTGAAGGCCAAGTGCATATATTAAAGCATCCTTTTCCCCTGACAGATCCTGAAAGCTAGGAAAAGAAAAAAAGAAAAATACACTGCCCCATGCCATCCTTGATTTCTTCTGTCTGAAGAGAAGATCCCAAAACTCATGTTTGCAATGTCATGTCAGTTTTTCACTCTTTCTAATGAGCTAGAAGGTTTTGCCTGTGTTTAATAATCCCACGGCTCAAAGGCACCAGCCATTTACCAGACAGACAGGCAAATGGCACCTTGGGGTGATATTTTGCACATCTTCTTCCATGTGTACATTACAAATAACACGTGGCAGTAAACAGCATCACATGCATCCAAACCCTGGAGCTTTTGTTTACAGGAAACCTCAATAATCAACTAAATGGCTACCGATAAGCATCTTTTCCTTTTAAAGGCAGTCAGCGTTTATAGTCCGAGTTTCTTTTATTTCTAACCGTCAAGAAACAGCTCCAGCACTCGCCTCATCTGGCCAATCACGCCTGGTAACACCTGTCTTTTCACATTCTCGGTTTTATTCGTTATTTATATTTCTCTTTACACAATACACCCGCAGGACAATACATCTCCAGCATGCTTACGGATTTGATCCAAAGCTCACTGGAGTCAACAGAATGACTTCACTGGCTCTGGAGCAAACCGAGGGCCCCAGCTCTGCAAATGGGCTTCCAGCCTGAGGAGGGACTTACGCACAAGTTAGGCATCCCAGCCCAGAAGTGCAATCGCAAAATCCCTAACCCTTTAGCTGCTCATCTTTTAACCAGCCAAGGTCTCCAAAAGCCCGAACTGTTTGCAGATTTTTTTCCCCCCAGTTATGTGTTTCATGAAAAAAAAAAAACACCAACAACAAACCCTCTGTAGTGATCCATGAAAAGGCCTCTCAGGGGCTAGGTCTCCCTCTCCCAAGTGTGGCCCCAACCACTAAGCGCTGAAGTAATTTTCTCTGTGTGTATCTATATATATGTGTGTCTGTATATGTATGCATATTTGTATACACATATATTATATGTATACGTACAGATATTATAGATATGTGTATCAACACACATGCACGCACACACATTTTTTGCTCCCCCTTCTGGCCCCATGAATCTTGAATTTTTTTTCTTCTTGGTGGAAGCAGGGGAGAGCAGGTGAACGATCCTGCCTCCAACGTGACTTGTAGCCAGGATCTGCAGCATCCCTCTGGGAGGTGCGCAATGTGGATTCCCGCTGAGAAAAGGGCCCCAAAGCCTTACTCCCTGCTACAGCCGCACGTAGCTGTCCTCTGGTTCCCCAGACACATACACCCTTTAGTCAGGCGGGG